CTCCAAATAAGAAATTACACATTTTCCGTAAACCTTGGCTTTTTCTGGAAATAACGGTTTATTCTGTTGAAATAAAAAAATTGAAATATGAGTAAACATGTTATTATTACTCACCGAATATTTTTTCTTTCATATATACTTTTTCCCTCACAGGAAAATTTCAAACGTGCGTGACACACGTTTTAAACAAATATATAATAATTGCGATTATAATTTCTGCATATTGCGAAATTACACAATTTCGCAGTAATTTTTACCACAATCTTTTCTCCGTGCGCAACAACATCAGACTGGCATATCACTCTTAATTGATGCTGCTTTCGCAGCGACAGCTTTGGTTCGCGTCGCTTGGTTCCGGACGACCGCGGCCAGGCCTTGATTATCAGAGCCATACGTCTAATCCAACGTAGGGATTGGATGCACGTCGACATAGGTGCTTGTACATCGTCGTTAAATGCGTGCGCACATTCGACGTCGTGGTCATTACGCGGCAATGAGACGGTCACCACGTGTACTAGATTACCGTGGACGCACGACAAGCTGGCGTGAACAATAGCCGATGAGTATCGTGACCGGTCACGGATTCCCTGATTAATAGCGTGGAGCACCTTGTCGGGATCATAACGACGCCGGAGTTATGAGCGATGCACGATAAGACGCTATCTGCGATGGATTTTCGCGGCTTGCTCGCGACGATTATTCCGTCCGTGCGCCATTGAAAATAGATGATATCGGAAAAATCGCAATTCGCACGACGGCGACATTTTACGCGTCGGACATGTCTGCTCGGGCACGTATGAAAAGAGCGGAAAACAACATTTAATGGATATTTAAAATAATATTTAAAATAACGCACTATGGCATGACAAGATAAATAATGTTATAAAATAAAACGTGTAATACTGAAAAAATGAAATGCAAACGGGTAAATAATATTTTAAATCATATGGATATTTATCCGTCACAGTAGGAGAAAAAAAAGGGAGAGAACAAAACGAAAATTAAACAAAAATAAATGCAATCAGTCGTCTGAAAAAAGACAAAGGAAATTGTTTTCGTTTGCGTTTATTCCAACGAACATTCTGCTTTCTTTCTTTTTTAAGAATTAACACGAACACGAGGGAATTGCTCCAAAGCGAAACAAGCCGCAAAAATACGTCCCGCCCGAACAAATAGTAGACGAACGATCGACACGTTGTATTTTATGAAAGTTCAGCGTTTCAGCAAACACTGCGTCCATTATTTTTCGATTGTTCAGCAATACATCCACGCAAAATAAATTCGGCGTCGGCTTTGCTCCATCGGCCGGCCGTGTTTGCAGCCGAAACGTGCGCTTTTCAATCCACGCGCGCTGTATTATTTTAATACACGCAACACAAAGCTTTTGTTAGGAATAATGAGGCAGTTACGCGAACGTCAAATCGGATACAGTAAAATAATTTTGGCCGCAATATATCGCTCAACACGTTCTCTCACGGAATAAAATTTTCGCGAAAACCACGAATTGTAAACGAGCGCGCGTTGTTCGGCATAATTTGAACAAAGTACCACTTAAAGAGCAATTACCTATTTGATTCCGCACGTTCATTAAGCTTCTTTTCTCTCTCTCCCTCTCTCTCTTTCTCTTTCTTTTTCTTTTTGCGCTGATAACATTCATTGCTTCTCGCGATTCGCCAGATTTGCCGGGTGTGCAATTAGCGGGAAATTTACAGAAATTTAGACGTCCCCCGACTTTTAGAGGAAATATAAATGAAATTTGCCAACGACAAAGCGACGTTAATTACATCAAACAACCGGTGGAATGACATGCCGCGAGAATCGACAACGGTCGTTATTTCCGTGACATTGCTCCATCGACATCGATTAAAGAATTATATATTGCGACGCGGACGGTTTAAAATAGTTCTCTCGTATTTACAGCCTGCGCGCGCTACCACATATAGGCATGCTGTTCGCCATTGATAGAAAATTACGATGTTCGAGTTAACAGAAGAATTTCCGCCTGATTCACCGGAATTACTGCGGGATCATCGTGAATTCCAACCGACTGCACGGATTTTTCGTGTACACGGCCGCGTACCTGTTGCTGATTCTCTCGCTGCGTGGTGAGACGCGCCTCGACACATTGTCGGGTTTCGAGGAACGCTTGTCTTTGCGCCAATTCCCGTGGGTGATGCGTCAGTGCGCCGGCCACGTTCGTCCCGCCAACCACCACAATCGAACTCAACAGCTGAAACAGATATAAAGTTTCACGGTTAGACTCGTTGCACAAATGGATTCAACCGCCGTTTCTCTGACGTGCAGCACGCACTCCCGACATTTTCTCCCGCGTTAATTTTAATTATTCCCGCCGCGAGCGTTCGTGAAATTACCCAAGTAGAAAAATTTCCTGGAAAAAACTGGTGAGTGGCCAACTTTTTCTGGCTAGAATTTATTAGACAGCAACTGTATAGAATTTAAATAAGAAAACACTGACTGAAGACTAGGCAACAAGAAATGGTAAATAAATGTTAGCAATTTTTCTGTCTAGTAAAGACCCGAAAAATATTAGTCAATATTTCTTTGCTGGCCAGAAATTAGGCAAGAAAAAATGTTAATAAAAAGTAAAGCTACAACTATCTCAGTAATGAATGAGTTTGCATATGAAGGGATTCTACTTTCTTAAACACAACTCTACTTTCACGTTATTTTATATTGAATAGTAAAGTGTATTATTTTATGATGATGATATTATGATGATATTATGTATGATATATTGATATGTATAATAGAATCGAACGATAAAAATTATTTGACAGAATTCTGTACAAAAAGAAAGTTTGATTCGGTATTGGTAAAAAACTAGCCGGCCAACACTGGCCAATAATCAGAATTCTTGTTGAGTTACTGACTGGAAGGAGGTCACTCTTTCTACTCGGATCGATCATAATCTTAGTAGACAGAACAAAAAGAAGAAAATGGTTGGAAATCTCAAGTTAGTCGCATTTCGCGCGTTCATAACAACGGAAACGTGACACGTGTTCGCGGACGGCGATGAAGAGGAACGAGTGGATTATCGGTGTCATGGGGTGAAGATCGCAAACGAGACTTCTGAGGAAAGCTTTAATACCGGATCAGTGGCCGTAAGCCATGGATCGGATAGGAAGAAGGAACGCGCAGTAGGAAGAGAAAGTTTAATACTGGATTAGCAAAGTGGGGGTCGAGGGGATTAAAGGAGAGGACGAAGAAGGAGAGGATGAATAAGGGCAACGTCTCGAACGTCGAAGGTTATGGAGGATAAGAGAGAGAGAAAAAGAGAAAGAGAGAGAGACGGAGAGGGGGGGAGAGGGAGAGAGAGAGAAGAGAAAGAGGGAGAGAGAGAAGGAGAGGATGAATAGGGGCAACGTCTCGAACGTCGAAGGTTGCGGAGGATAAGAGAGAGAGAGAAAGAGAGAACGAGAGAGAGAGGGGGGGGGAGAGAGGGAGAGAAGAGAAAGAGGACACGTTAATTCTGGTAACGAAAGAGATCAATCTTCCCGACGGATGTAAGCAATTAAACGGTGGACTTCGATAAGCGTTGCAACTCATCCGTGAATAATAGATATTCCATGACCTTTCGCGCTTCTTTCCCTTTCTTTTTTTTTTGACGTTATTTTCAACGATCGCAATCACATCTCGACCTCTCGGTTTATTATTGTCGCGACTCTTGCATTTTAAATATTACATAAGAGCACTTATATTAGCACAGAGTGCAGCAAGTGCGAATAGAAAGCGTAGGCAATCGACACGTTCATGATGAATATCTCTCGCGAGGGTTGAGGCGCCGATTGACGCCGCCCTTATTTTTAGACCCCGAGCCCCGAGAGTCCCCGCCGGCTAACTCTCTCGTTACACGATCCAATAAACACAATGTGAAATGAAGGAGGATCAGCAGCCGCCCTAGCTTTCTTTTTCATACGAGAGATATGGGTGTTTAAGGGACGGTCGAGCTCGCAAAGACGAAAATCGATGGCCGTACTACCGAGGGTGAAGAGGAATTAAAAGAGAGACCGGCGAGAGTTCTTCCGGGAGGGTGGCCGGGTGATCGCCCATTGGCGAAACTCGTTCACGCATTTGGTCAATATTTAAATAAGCCCGCGGCAATGTTTATGTGGCGCACCTGGGGGTAACCTCGCCCCGCCGTCGTACTATCCCTGGAGAAACTCGTTATCGGAGTGTTTTAACAGGCACGCCCACACAACATGCCCGTGCCTCCCTCGAGCTGCCTTGTCGTAAATGACGAAGCCCTTAAAAAATCTTGCGTGCCTTGGCTTAGCGACTGCTCTTTGCCCGCCGCACAGTCTTGGGATATAATGCGGAGAATGATAAGATCTCTCGCGAAGTCCTTGCTTCGGCTCCTTCCCTCCCTTAATTCGAGCTTCGTGGGTGCTTCGGCTTATTTAGATTCAATCAACTTATGCTAATGTTTCGCAAATGATAAAGATACGGTAGTCGCGGAGCAATGTTGGTTAAGAGTAATTACGCTTTTATCGCACGTGGAAGAATGTGAGCTAAATATCATGAATAGGTTTTCGTCGATTTCTGTTACATGAGCGAGTAGTCCGGAAATTGAATATCGAAATGTTGCTTTTAACTTTTTTTTGTTTTTTATAAGTTATTTAGACAAATAAATATTGAGCACGTGAATATTTAAAGTAGAATACATGAATATTTAAAAGATTTTTCACAAAGTGCCACTCCGCCTCCCTTTATTTTGCAGTCTCTGTTTATATCGCGTGCACGCGCACGATAACGTTACGTAATTTTATTCCGCTAATATGAAAATTCGCGCGTCGTGCTCCCATTACATCGGCGGCTAACTGGCAAACTCAAAAATAACCGCAAGATGTGATGCAAGTGGAACGTAACGTCCGCGTAACCTTTTGCCGGGTATTAATTACGCCCGCCGACGTGATTGTTCTTTCCACGCGAAATCACACCGTCTGAAATTCGCCGAAACGATCTGTAATCTTTCACGTGACGTGGGATTTAAATTTTAATCGCGTACGCTCCTGTGGCGAGCGGAAAAATATCGGGCCAAAGGACCCGTGTGCTGCCGTCAAAGAGACGGCTCATTGAGTTTGCGGAGTTTCGCCGAGATTGTCGCACACGACGGTGCAAGTATACGACACCGTCGCGCACAGCTTCCTCGTCTAATGAAACTCTGCACGCCTATGGTGGGTTATTATCAGGACACCATGTACGGGGACTTGTATTCGCGCGCCTCTTTGATCTACCTTCGTGGAGGTTCACTGCTACTTAGGGAAAAGGGATCGTTCGGTCGGTCGGTCGGTCGGTCGATCTGTCGGTCGGTCGATCTGTCCTCCTACGTGGCGAAGCTTCAAAGGAAATCACCAGATCCTGCGAGGAATCGCTTCACGTGGCCATATAACTTACTTGTAATCTTGGGCGGATTTATTCGCAACCACCTGTAGGATCGCCATCCCGGGCGATCTCTTTAAACTTTTTCTTTTTTACGAGCTAGGTTTTTCGCGGAGTTTTAGATCCTCAGACGACTCAATTACTTTTTCTTCGCGAGGAAACACTCTGACAGATCGATAGAATTTTCAACGAAGACTGCGCGAGGAGTAACAGTTGAGTAATGAAACGCAATGGAGCGTGTAATTGTTCTGCTAACTGCAGTTTCATCGCGCGTCGACGTTATTACTTCGGCATTCAGTTATCAGCGATTGCTCAGTTTATTTTCTTTCTTTTGAACAACAGTTATCCCTCAACAAATAATATTTTCTTGATGATAGTCTTAAAGTATATTCATTACAAATATGAGGAAATATCATTATCATGTATTCAAAAAAGAATTTATTCTGTTTGCAAGAATATTATAAAACTCTATTCAAAAATAAATTAGTTCGTAAGTAAACTTGTTTCAATTTGATATATTCTTGATTGAAATTCAAAAATATATCAAATTACTAGGGAAGAGGAGAGAGATTCAGTATTTTTTTAATCAAATTTTTAATTAAATTTTATGCTTGCGATAAACTTACAGCAGATATACGTGGAAAAGAACACTTGAAAAAATATAGAAAAAAAATTTGTTTTAATTTACCTATGGGATATAAAGTTTATTTCTATGTATGTGTGTGTGAAAAATGAAATTTATTTCTACGAAACTTTTATTCCGCAAATAAATTCTCAAGTATTTTTTCTTAGCGTGTAAACTTATAAAACACTTGAAACATGTAATATTAACTTGAAGTACAGTATAGAGTACAGTATACAGTGTGCACTCTTCTATATATAGTAAAAATAATAGCGCTGTTCGGTCCGATCTGTCCTTTTTGCACGATCACACTCAATAGTATAAAAGAACGCGGTTTAACCGGTAATTTTGAATTACGGCGGATGATACTTTCCTGCGTATCAATTAGAATTTCGCTACGTCGGTAAAGTACGAGTAGAGTTGGTTGTTGCGGATGAAGTTAATTATTTAGAGGGCTACACTGTCTCACGGGGGATTCGCGACCGACCTGCGTTAGCCGGGGATCGTTGCGAATTTCAAGGGGAATCCTACAAGACACTGCTGAATATTACATGCCGGTCAGTCGAGCCACCCCCGCATATATACACCGCTCCAGTCCAGAGACCCAAGAGAGAAATACGCCCCCTCGGCCGATTTGTCTGCCGTAATGGAGGTCGAATTTCGCAGGAGGATCTCAAAAAGCACCGGGTAAAAGACGCCTTTCATGACGGATAATCAGTCGGTTGCCTTGCAAACTACACCGAGTGTCTTTTCACGAGTGAGGGAATTGTGTATCACTTGGCGAATGCGGATGAAAGCAACGACGCATATACGAATATATCGTCGACGACGATGAAAAGAAAATAGAGACACTCATACTTTACGTCTCTCATATCCAAATACTTACGTAAAAAGAGACAAATATAAATTTTTGTCCGCGATGCTTCGTCCAGTATTAATCGTTCTTAACTGCACGTTTCTTATGTGTGTCGATTAATATAGAAAGTCAGACCACATTCAAAGAAGAAGTGACATTTTGACAACTTGACGCTTTGTATATTTCAGTGTGAAGAGGTTACAAACTTACTCGAAAGTTACACTCCGATTTCTTTCTAATTTGGCACAAATGTAGAAGTACAAAAAATATATAGGTCATATTTTTTCATTTTGGCCTACTTTGAGTTTTACAGGCAGTTTATAGCTTTTTAATGTTCTCTTATCATCAACAA